ACTGTTAGTTGCAATCACAAATATACTTAAGATAGCCATTTCTTAGATTATTTCTATTTCTTCTGAAAAGGCTATTGCTTCTTAAAAAGGCAAAACTATGACGAAGTATTGCAAAACGAATCGTATTGACTTTCCAGTACGAGATTATAGGAAATCTGCTTATTTTAAAACCCAAAGTAATTTTTTTTCTTTAGGAAGATGGTATCCGTGAAGGGTTTATTAAGAAAAAGAAGCAAGCATTTGCATTATACATTTTTTAGAAGAAACGCAGAAACGACTGTGCTTTCAAACAGTTTAAGATTCACAATTTTAACCAATGACGAACACAGTGGTTTTATTTGTACACTTAACGCGCTGAATGAATGCGGTAAAATACTTTAAATATAAAAGCTTAACTCGAGCTTTAGCACAAACAATATAATAGCTTAGCACAAACACGCACTGTCCGTGATAGAGAGATGTCAAAAAGATGCTAAACGAAATGAAGGTCAGTAAAGCTACCACAGAAATTATTTGTGCATGGAATTTCGAATTGTCTCTTCTAGAAAAGACTGTTTAATGCCAATTCGAATAGAAAAATTTAACCACTGGTTAACGAGCGCGTTACAATTAGGCCCTAGGAAGACACGTAGAGAATTGGATTGGATTATTGTAATTTGGCACAAAACCTGTCTAGGTTATCTGCGCCAGACAAATGGTAACAATGCAATTAGTCATTTGTAAAAACTTCCAGCTTAGGTAAGAGACAGATTACAGTCTATGATAAGAGCTCATATCTTAAAAAAAAAAAACAGTTTAAAATCTATTATAAAAGCCAATATCTTTTAAAAACAGAAACAAATTACGATGATGTGCTTTTTCCAATTAAATTTTTTAAGTCCAGTTCTGAACTATTAAAATGTTTTTGGCGAAAATAATTAAAACTCTGGCATTCCACCAAGATATGATGAACTGTCAGATCTGCGTTGCAGTTTGGGCAGCAGCTGGGATTCTCTTCTCCCTTCAGAAGATACTCATGGGTCAGGCGACAATGGCCAATTCTCAGTTGAGTCAAGAGGACATCTTCCTTTCTATTAACCATACATGGCCAGTATCCAATGGTGGGTTTTACATTTCTCAGCTTGTTACATACTCTGTCATCCCATTGCTTCTGCCATTTGCTGAGGATTTTGCTTTTGACAAACCCTTTGATGTCTGCTAGTGGAATCTGAAGATTGTACATTGTGGTTGCAGTTTTAGCTGCAATATCTGCCAATTCATTCCCCTTAATGGCAACGTGTCCAGGGATCCACGAATATAGAATCTGGTATCCCCGAATTTTTAAAGAATGATTCAACTTTAGGATTCTGATTGCAACTGGATGAGTACATTGAGCGTGATTTTTCAATGACATTAAGGCACTCATGGAATCTGTGTAGATAATAAATTTTGTGTACTTTTGTTTTGAAAGGTAAGTCAAAGCCAGATGGATTGCAGTAAGCTCAGAAGTAAGCACAGAGCAAACTGTATGTAATCGAACCCCCTACTATTGTTTTTTTTCTGTGACGAAAGCAGCGCCAACATGATCCTGGGATTTTGATCCGTCTGTATATAGAGGGATATATTTCCTATATTTGTTTCTATGTTGAAAAAAATCTGCTTGTAGATGATTTCATTAGTTTGTGATTTATTCCAGTGTCGAAAAGTATCCAGAGAATGGATTCTCCTATCCTCCCAGGGAGGAATTCCAAAAAAATCCTCCATCTGTATATCTATATTAGATAAATTATACTCCTCCACCAGAGCACTCATCCGCAAGCCGAAAGATGGGACACATGATGGTCGTGCCTGATATAAACGGGAGTATTGGTCATTAAGCAATATTGACCGTGTAGAATTTTCGGTTTGTGATAAGACTTTGAAATAATGCTTAAGACAAAGATTTTCACGTCTTAACCGCAGGGAGGTCTCGTTACTTTCCACATATAAGCTTTCCACTGGAGAAGTTCTAAAGGCACCAGTGCATATCCGAAGTGCATGGTGATGTATCGGATCAAGTTTGGCTAATACTGAAGGCCTTGCCGACCCATAAATGATTGATCCATAATCTAGTTTCGAACGAATGAGAGCTCTATATATAAGAAGCATTGAGCTTCGATCAGCACCCCAAGAAGTATTTGACAGTACTTTCAGAATATTCATAGTTTTTAAACATTTCTTTTTTAGATATGGTAATATGGGGGAGGAACGTAAGCTTATGGTCAAATATCATTCCTAGGAATTTTATTTCCTTTTCTACAGGAATCAGCACATCTTGCAGATAAAGTTCGGGGTCAGGGTGAAGAATTTTCTTTCGACAGAAATGTACACACACAGTCTTTTGAGTAGAGAATCTAAAACCATTTTCCTGTGACCATTTAACAATTCTATTGAGAGATGTCTGCAATTTACATTCGATGTCTTTCAGGTCTTCTCCCTGGCAACTGACTTGCAGGTCATCGACATAGAGCATACCCTGGACTGCTAGAGGCAGTTGTTTTAAAACAGAATTAATTTTTATACTAAATAATGTAACACTTAATACACTTCCTTGCGGAACGCCCTCTTCTTGATGGAACATGTCAGAAAGTGTATCGCCTATCTTCACATGAAACTTCCGATCCTGTAGGAAATGTTTGATGAATATCGGCATGTTTCCTCGTAAACCATTGTTATATAGGTCACGAAGGATACCGTATCTCCAGGTGGTATCATAGGCTTTCTCTATATCAAAGAAAATGGAAACAATGATTTCTTCTAACGAACGCTCTACGGATACCTGTTTCTAAGAGTAGGATATTATCGATAGTTGCTCTTCCTTTTCTAAAACCGTTCTGATAAGGGGAGATACAGTTATTTGTCTCTAAATAATAAACCAGACGAGTGTTGACCATCTTTTCAAAGAGTTTGCAGAGGCAGCTAGTAAGGGCGATGGGACGGTAATTCGACGGATTAGTAGGGTCTTTTCCTGGTTTAACAATGGGGATGACAAAAGCTATTTTTCCAGTCATTTGGAAAGACTTGTTCCTTCCATACTCTATTAAAGAGAAAGAGGATGGTTGCCAATGACTTGGAAGGAAGAAGATGTTTCAGCATAGGATAGGCAATATCATCTGGACCAGGACATGAATTTTTTTGTCTGCAGCAGAGCTCTTTTCAGTTCAAGCACAGTAAAATCCTGATTATATGGTTCAGTATTGGGAGAGTTTGAAATTAGTTGTTTTTTCAATGCATTTTTTTGCGGAAAGAAATTCAAGAGGGTAGTTACTACTGTGTGAGACGGCTGAGAAACTCTGTCCAATAGCGTTGGCAATTTCTTCCCTACTAGTAACTGTTTCACCACTTGTCTTTAAAATGGAAAGTGTGTGCTCTTTGTAGATACCGGACGCTTTCCGGACTCTCTCCCACACCTTCTTACTCGAAGTTGAAGAGCTAATCGAAGACACATACGAGATCCAAGAATTCTTCTGACTTTTCCTTCGCACCTGCCGAGCTTTTGCTTTAGCCCTTTTGAATATTACGAGATTTGATTCTGAAGGATATCGCCGAAAAATGCTCCAAGCTTTCCTTTGTTTTCTGATGGCGTCCTGGCATTCAGGATTCCACCAGGGCTTTGGGTATTTTGGCTGTTTTACCCAACGTTTTTGGTATACATATATCAGCTGCTTGAATAATTTTATCTGTAATGATCTTCACAGCCTGATCAATGTGCAAATTCTTTATTATTTCTTCAGTAAAAAGAGCATAATGTAAGAAAGAGTCCCAGTCGGCTTTGTCCAACAAAAAGCGTGGTGTTCTAGGTATAAACACACTCCTATTTCCTGTAATGCTTATGATAATAGGAAAATGATCGCTATTATATAGATAATTCTCGACATTAAAAAAACAAAAAGGGCAAAAGCTGTGGAGAAACAATAGCAAGGTCAATGGAATGGAAGGTCCTTGTTGGCTGATGAAAATAAGTGCTTTCTGTGTTGTTAAGGACACAGAGAGAGTGGTCGTGGAGTAGCTGTTCAATTTGCTTTCCTCGTGGGTTTGGTGTCTTTACTACCCCACAAGGGATTGTGTCCATTGAAATCACCGACTAGAATAAACGGAGCTGGTAGTTGGGCAATTAGATCCTCTAAATCTCTTAAGTTAATGTTCTCATTAGGCGGGATGTAAATACTGCAGACAGTAGTCAGTGTTCGAATGCTCAACTGTACTGCAACTGCTTGGAGAGGAGTATCCAAAGGGAGAGCACTCGAAGGGCAATTAATTGAGGTGAGTAGACAGACACCACCACTTGCGCGTTCACTGAATGTCTTATCCTTTCTTGTCATCGAGTACCTACGTAGCTTTGCAAAAATTACCAGGTTTGAGGAATGTCTCTTGTATCGCTATACAAATAGGTCGATATTTATTAATAAGTTGCTTAATGCCATCAATACCCTGATAGAAGCCCCGGCAGTTCCACGAAATGAGAGTAGCCATTAGGAATGTTTATTGCTTCGATGCTGTTTCTTTGTTTTGTGAGGTAGAACATTTTTCGAGAGATCTCCGCCTCCATCTGTTTCCATCTCAGATTCGATAAAGTCTGAAAAGGTCCCTTCAATAGAGCTTCGGCTTGAGCTTCTCTTTTCTGAGCTTTTGATTTTCTTTTTTGAACTCTCTGTTTCTTGTGTTTTTATTTCTCGACTTTCTATTGTCTGTTTGGGAGGAGGTAGAAGAAAGACTTTTTCTTTGTCATTTGTTTTTGGTTCAGGTATCTTCTTCTGTGTGCTATGCGATGTTTGTGTACTTATTGACCGATATGATTTAGTGGCTTGTGCATAGGAGACATTTGCTTTTGACTGACCCGTGCTAAAAAGTTTCTTAGCTTCAGGATAGGAGATTTTTCTTGTAGTCTTAATATGCTGTATTTCTTTCTCTTTCTTTCCACTTAGGGCAGTTTCGTGAGTATGCTGGATGATTGCCATGACAGTTTGCACATTTTGGATCAGCTACACAATCCTGACTTTCGTGACCTCCTGCAGAACAGCGAGCACACATGCCAGGTTTCCCCGGCATGCGGCCTTCGCATGGCCAAACCGTTGACACTTGAAGCAGCGCAGTGGGTTCGGCACGTAAGGTCTGATGGGGCAATTTAGGTAACCTGCCTTAATGGCTTTCGGTAGCTCTGGAGAGGAGAAAGACAGAATAAGATGTTTTGTGTTGACGAGTTGCCCGTCTCTACGGACTTTTATTCGGCGGACGCCACATACATTTTGCTCGGCGAGTTCTTTTGAAAGTTCATCCTCAGAGACTGATATCAAGTCTATTTCCGAAATGACACCTCTTGACGTGTTCAAAGACTTATGTGGGGATACAGTAATAGAATGTTCCCCCATTTTGGTCATTTTTTGGAGAGAGGAAGATTGTGCATCAGATGTAGTCTCGATGAGCAGAGATCCTGAACGGAGCTTTTTTATGTGTTTTGGCTCGCCTACTGAGGCCGCAATATGCTTATGGATGAAGAATGGTGATAGATTTTCTAGCTCACCAGTGATAACTAAGAACTTTGGATATTTGTTTGTGCTAATTAAGGTCGAAGTACAAATTCTTTTAGCAGCTCCAGAATTTTTCGTATCCATATGGTTAGGAGAAGAAGTTAAAGTATTCATATTGAAAAGAGAGAAGGTTTCGGGCCCGACCGCCCCACCCACCATGGAGCCCAACAAGGGAACACAGATCCCTGTGTTAGGGCTAGCCGGGCCTATACGCAAACTGAAGCCCCCACAGTCGGCTTTCCCAAAAGCGGAGACTTCCGAGAGCTTATCCCCTAGCCACTGACCAATAGGACTAGTGGCCAGCCGATTGACACTAGCGGGGACAGCTAAGTGCCTCCCGTTTTAAGTAGAAGCAGAGGCCAAAGCAGTGTGTTGGGGACAGTACCTCGCCCCTCAACTGCCAGGATCCTCCTTTCCCACCCTACGGGTCACCATGCACGGCAAACGCATAGGCGGTATTCTCACCATGGTGAGACAGAAACCAAGAGTAGTAGCTGCATCTCACAGTGAGCCCCAACCTCCAGTAGAGGAAACCACAAGGGAGAAAAAAATAGGAGAGAGAGAGCTAGACAAGAGGAGAGGAAAGAGAGGAGGAAAGGTCACTGGGGCCCCGGGAGTGTGATACCCGATCACCAAGACGGCAATCCCCTGAGGGTTCTTCACCTGCTATGCTTTAGCTGGGCATGTTGGAACAGCCTTCACGCCTAGGGTGGCCCTACGAGGAGCTATGCTCCCGACGTACTTCGCCCGTTCCGCCCAGTGACACCCCCCCGCCACGTTGAGGCAGCATAGAAGGAGTTTGGGGGGGACACGTAGAGAAAGCTTCAGCTAATGCTTTACGCAATATGCATAACATACACAGATGCCAGATTTAGTAGTAGTAGGTATATTGTTATAATACTTCATAATTGGAAGGACCGGTGAAATAATAGAGCAAGCAAATTAATTTTCAAGTTACTAAAACGGATTCAGGAGAAGGTGCTGCGAAAGTTTGCTAAAATATCCTCAAAAAAC